TCGAACGCTAATACTCCTCTTGCGCTTCGCCCGCCCGACCTCTCGTCGGCCACCACCAGCGCTTTGTCGCAGCAGCAGCAGCAGCCGTCGCTGTCGGCGACGTTCACTGTGCAGGACAAGGACTTGCTCGGTCTCCTCGCGAAGTGCTTGCGCATCGCCAACCAGGCCGCGCTCGAGGGCATGGTGCAGGGCAAGAGAGGCTTGCGCCTTCTCTTGAACAACCCGGCACCGCGCACTCTCGGTTTGTCGGAGGAGGATGCGGGGGGGTTGCTGGACTGGCAGCGCCAGACCCGCGACTCGTTGCGACTCTCGTCCAGCAGCGGCGCGTCGGCGGAGTTCGAGGCAGCCGTTCGGATGATGCTCGACACGTACCTTTGCGAGGCGGAATCCATCAACGCATCCGGCTTGTCGGTCGAGTGGAGAGACTCTCGCTTCACCCTCCGGCTAGACGGCAGGCTGCCAGCCGCGCGGGAGGAGCGCGAAGCTCTGCGGGCAAGCCTCGAGGGTGCGCTCCGGCGCCTCTCTGGGATAGAGGACCTGGCGGTCTCCCTCAGCGAGGGCGATTCGATCCTCGTCCGCTGCCGCTGCCGCGCGTCCGAGATCCCCGCGGCGATCCTCGCGCTATCGGGCGGGACCTTGTGCGAGTACCCGGTCATCGCTTTCGACGACGGCACGCCGAGCCCGCGGGTCGACAGTTACGAGTTCGAGGTCTGCGCGCCGGTGCAGGCGCTGCAGGCGTTACGAACGCTCGTCGAGCCGGCCGGGGCGCTGCTTGGGCCGGAGCAGCCTTTAGCGCCGGAGGAGGCGGCGGCTAAGGCGGTGGACGCAGAGATGGCCGAGGTGGCGGGGGAGAGCGAGACGGAGGAGAGCGGGGCGGAGGAGAGCGGGGCGGAGGAGAGCGAGGCGGAGGAGGAGTCGGGTGCGCGTTGCCACGCCCCTTGCCGCGTCATGTCCCCGCAGAGCAGTCTCTGATCCCCCCTTCCTCCTGCACCCCGTCGCTGATGCCCCCCCTCCCCTCCTCCCTTCCTCTCTGACCACCTCTCTCCCCCCTCCGATGCAGCCCTGCGCCTCCCTGTGGCCGACTTCTTTGAGACCGTCAAGCGATTCGTGCAGCCCGGCAAGCACGCGCAGCTCGATGAGTTGCAGCGGCGGTACGTGAGCAGGGAGCTGGACCAGCAGCAGGCGCCTCCCGCCCTCCTGCCCCATTCTCCGGCAGCCCCCCCACCCCCCCCGGCGCCGCCCCCCGCCCTTCCAATCCGCTCTGTCTTGCATCTCTTACCCGGCGTATTCCGTTCGCCCAATAGCTGCGAGCCGAGCTCCGGAACGTGGCCAGCACGGACGCGCTGCGGCAAGCGCTGGCGGCGGTCCGCGAGCTGCACAGCGGGCGGGCGGCGGTAGCTGAGAAGTCGCAGGTGGAGGGTGAGCTGGCTCTCACAACGGGCATGGAGCTGATGAGCGTAGAGGAGAACAACTTCCTGCGCGTCACCGAGCTCGTCCAGACGCTTGCCCCGACGGCGCTGCGCCCCGCCTTCGTCCGCGCCTGGAACCTCGCCTACACGGACACGCCGTGGGACGACAGCGGCAGCGCCTCGCGCGAGCGCTTTGGCCGGCTGATCCAGTCTGGTGAGCCCTTGCCTCTGCGGGAGGTTTCGGATCGAGCGTCCTTGCGAGGAGGCTCCGTGCTGCTCCACGATGCGACTGGAGCGCCGCTCCGCCCTCCGCACGGCCTCAAGCTGTGGTTCAAAAAGGGCGACCCTGTCGAGCTGCGGAGCGAGGCTGGTGAGCCGCTGCTGCCGCCGGGCGCGAAAGTCGGTACGATCCGACCTGACGGCGCGTCGATGACGATTGTGGTGGACGATCCGTCGGCGCCCGACTGGCATCACCACGACCCGCCACGCCCCAACTTGCGGCTGTTTGCGCCGCGCGTGTGCGAGGCCACCAACTGCGCCTCGCTCAACAACCCGAACGCGCAGAGCTTGCTCCTGAACGAGGGGTACACGCGCTGGGACGTTGGCCTGCTCGTCTGGGCGCTGCGCGAGCAGGGGCACAAGCTCACTGCGGCGTGCGGGCCTCTCGAGGAGGATGTCTTGACGTGTCTGCAGCAGGTCGCTGCCGTGCCGCCCTCGCCCTCCCGCACTCTAGTTCTGTTTCCCATGCCCCGTGATCTCGCGCGCAGGTCTGCAACGTGCGCAACGAGGGCTGGGCGCATGCTGTCGGGGGAGCGATGGCCGATGCCGCGTTCGTCGAGGCTCGCGATAAGGCGACCGCGCTGCTTGAGGTGCTGGTTCGGGCGGGGCTGCTCACCGCCGAAGAGGCAGCTGGCCCGCGCGACCGGCTCGCGAGGCTGCATGACGTCGTGTACTCGCGCGCAGAGCATGCCTCCGGCCTCGAGCAGGCGGAGCAGCAGGCAGAACTGTTGCGAGCGATGCAGGAGCAGCTCGACCGCGTCGAGGGTTCGAGCTCTGCCGCCGCCGCGTCGAGCTCTGCCGCCGCCGCGTCGAGCTCTGCTGCCGCTGCCGCCGCGCAGTCAACGCAGGCAGTTGTCGGCGCTCAGTACGTTGGCCAACTGCAGCGTGAGCAGCTGCAGCTGCAGGAGGAGGAGGTCCAGGGGGCGGTGGCTGCCGCATTTCGGGCGAAGAGGCAGCAGCTCGTCGCACAGGAGTTGACGCAGGCGGGTGCGGCCGGCTACGTGCGCCTCGAGGATCTCGGCAGCGCCAGCCCTACAGCCCGGCGGCTGAGCATGCACCCGCTCCTCGCGGCATTGCCTAGCATCGGCGGCGGAGGCGCAGGGGCGACGCTGCCTGTGGCGAGCTCGTCCGCCGGGCCGTCCTCCTCCTCCTCGCAAAGCGGCGGCAGCACGGCGTCCTCCGTCATGACCATCACTATGGAGGGAAGCTTGGCGGGACCGCCGCTTTTCGACCGCGAGAAGTTCAAGGAGAAGCTTGCCAGCAAGCTCGACATGACGCCGGAGGAGCTCAAGGTGAAGACGGTGAGCCGCGGGGGGAGGCGGTCGCACGAGGTGCAGACGAGCCCGGGCTTGAGCATCTGCGTTGACGTCGATGAGGAGGGCTACTTCCGCTACGAGTCGAGCGGCTACTCCTCGGAGGTCGGCAGCGAGGCCTCCGACTTGTCCGCAGCCGAAACGGTCATTCAGTCGGCGATCAGGCTGAACCTCAGGCCGCGCCACATCGCCCTCGACGCGATCGAGGTGCTCTGGACCAAGGAGGGTTCCATCATCGTCTGCGTCAAGCTCGACTTGCCGTACGCGCTCAAGCTGATCGACCTGTACTTGCGCGGCGACTCGAGCTTGAAAGACGAGCTGCGCGTCGTCGGAGTGGGCTTGGTGACGCAGCAGCCACCCGCGGCCGCCGTGTCGCTCGCGCAGGCGCCGTCGCCGCTCACTTTGATCAAAAAGTCGGCGGACGAGGCACTCGAGGCGGTGAAGAAGGATTGGAAGGCGCTCAAGGACCTTTCGGAGCAGCAGAAGAACAATCCCACGATTGTGCTGGCTGCGGTGTCGCAGCGCGGACACGCCTGGAGGGCGCTCTCTTACGCTTCGCCCGAGATGAAAAAGGACCGCGAGGTTGTGATGGCGGCGATGCAGCAAAACGGCTCCGCGCTGCAATTCGCAGCTCCCGTCTTGAAGGGCGACCGCGACGTCGTGCTGGAAGCAGTGGCGCAGAACGGCGACGCCCTGAAGCACGCTTCGGAGCAGCTGCGGGCCGACCGCGACGTAGTGCTGAGGGCGTTGGAGCAGAAGGGCGACGCGCTGAAGCACGCCTCGGAGCAGCTGCGGGATGACCGCGACCTTGTGCTGGAGGCGGTGGCGCGAAGTGGCTCCTCTCTCAAGCATGCCTCGGAGCAGCTGCGGAGCGACCGCGGCGTCGTGTGGAAGGCATGTACTGCATCTGATGAGCTGTCTGCCTTCGACGGGTCGGTGCTTGAGCATGCATCCGACGAGCTGAAGAAGGACCGCGACTTCATGATGGAGGCGGTGAAGCAGGACTGCTCTTCGCTGGAATTCGCATCGGAGGAGCTGCGGGGCGACCGCGACGTCGTGCTCGAGGCGGTGAAGCAATACGGCTTCGCGCTGGAGTACGCATCGGAGCAGCTGCAGGGCGACCGCGACCTCGTGCTGGAGGCGTTGGCGCAGAGTGGCTCCGCGTTGAAGTACGCATCGGAGGAGCTGCGGGGCGACCACGGCATCGTGCTGCGAGCGGTGAAAAAGAACAGCTCAATGCTGGAATTCGCCTCGGAGCAGCTGCAGGGTGACCGCGAGTTCATGCTAGCGGTGGTGGAGCACCTCATCCGCCGGACACCTGATGATGGCTCCGGCAACGTGGGCTACGTGGGCACTAAGAGGGGGATGCTGGCCGCTTGCAAGTTCCTGAGCCTGGACAAGAGAGGCAATAAGCCTGACCTGGCGGCTCGGCTGGTGGAGTGGTACGAGACGAGGAGCCCAAAGCGGAAGAAGCAGAAGGAGGAGGGGAGGCAGAGCGGGGCGGAGGAGAGCGAGGAGGAGATCGAGGCGGAGGAGGAGTCGGGTGCGCGTTGCCACGCCCCCCGCCGCACCATGCCCCCGCAGAGCAGTCTCCGGCCCACCTCCTCCCCTTCCCCCCTGCCTCCTTGCACACCCGTCGCTCACGCCCCTCCCCCACCCCTTGCCTCTCTGTACGCCGTCGCTCACCCCCTCGCCCCTTTCCTCCGATGCAGCCCTGCGCCTCCCTGTGGCCGACTTCGAGGGGGGACTCCAGGGCGGTGGCGGCAGGGCAAAGGTCGGGCGCTTCGAGGTGAACCTCGACCGCATCCTCGGCTCCGGCGGGTTTGCCCATGTGTTCCGCGCCGTCGACCGGACGGCATCGCCGCCGCTCCACGTGGCAGCCAAGCGCGGCGCGGCGGCGGACTTGCGCGAGGAGGCGCAGGCGTTGGAGCGCGTAGCGGGCCACCCGGCCATCATCGGGCTGCACGGCTTCGTCGAGGGCCCCGACCCCGGCGATACGTTCCTCTTCCTCGAGATGTGCAGCGGCGGCGAGCTCTTTGAGCGGGTGAGCGACGGAGGCCAGCTGTCGGAGCGAGCGGCGCGGCCCATCGCCAAAGGCATCGCCGAGGCGCTCCGCCACTGCCTCTCGCGCGGCGTGGTGCACCGCAACGTCGGGCTCGAGAACGTGATGCTCTCCGCCGAGGACCCGAGCGCGATCAAGCTGATTGACTTTGGTCTCGCCTGCACGGTGCGTTTGCTTCACCCCTGCCTCCTTTCCTGCCCACTTTGCGTCTCTCTCTGACCTCTCCCAGCGCGGCTCTCGCCAGCGACCCGACACCCACGCGACTCAACCTCCCCCCCCCCCCCCCCCCTCCAGGTCCCGCTCGCGCCGGACGGCAGCCTCAAGCCGGTGCTGCAGTACGACTGCGTGGGCTCCACGTCGTACATGGCGCCGGAGCTCTTCTTCGCGTCCGAAGGCTACCACGCGCCTCCCGTCGACTGCTGGGCGTACGGCGTGCTCGTCTTCTCCCTCCTCGCGGGCTTCTTCCCCTTTGAGGAGGCGAAGGCGTCCGACTGGCGGTTCGCCAAGCTGGCGCAGAGCGTCGACAGCGGAATCGGCCCTTGCGACGCCATCTACCGCATGCACAACCGCTCCTGCCCCTTCTCGCCCGCCGCGCGCGAGTTCTGCGACGCCCTCCTCGTCATCGACGCGAATGCGCGCGCGACCATCGAGCAGTGCCTCGAGCACCCGTGGCTGTCGGCGCCGCCGCCCACGGCCGCCTCTGGTATCGCCATTGCGGCCGCTGCTGGTGAGAACACGACGGACCCGCCCTTTGTCCCCGCCCCCGCGGCTGCCGCCAGCTCGGTGGAGGAGATGGACGTAGAGGAGCGGCAGCCGCGGGGGCTACGTCCGTCGCGGGAGCCTCCGAGGGTGGACGCGGAGGAGGAGCGGCAGCTCGCGCTTGCCCTCTTCGCGACCTCCAAGCAGGACGGCGCGGCGCCTCCCGCTGAGGCGCCAGCGGCCGGGCCGGGTGCGCGCATCCCCCCCCCACACACACACACACACACACACCTTGCGCCAATCATCGCGCCACCCTCGTGCCACGCTTCGCTTCACCCCCCGCCATGCCTTGTGCCGCGGCGCACACTGCACGCTTCTGACCTGTCCTGTCCCCTTCCCGCGCCCCCAGTGTCCATCGCGGCGGCTGAGAAGCCAGGCGCGCCCGGCGTCTCGTCGTCGTTTGACACCGGCGCTTCCGCTTCCGCGCCTCACAAAAAGAAGGCGGATGAGCCGTCGCCGTCGGCTTCTTCCGCTGCCAAGAAGGCAAAGGTGGGCGGCAAGGAGAAGGAGGAGCAGTCACCAGCGGCGCCGGCAGCGGCGGAGGTCGACCTGTCCTGGCTGGAGCTACTGCCGCCTCGCCGGCTCAAGGCGTTCTGCGAGGAGAAGGGGCTGCCGGCGTCCGGCGACTCGGAGGCGCTGGCGAGGCGGCTGCGCGAGAGCGGCGGGCTGGGTGTGCCGCAGCTCGAGGCGCTGTGTGAGCTGGTCTGCGTCGCCAAGCAGGGCAGTGCGGCGGAGATCGCGCGGCGCATCGGTTCCAGGCTGAGGCACATCGGTGCCAGGCTGAGGGCTGATCCTTCGGACCGCGATGTCGTGCTGGCCGCTGTGCTGCAGAGCGTCATGGCGCTGCGGTACGCCTCGGAGGAGCTGAGGGCGGACCGCGAGGTAGTGCTGGCCGCCGTGCAGCAGTGGGGCGAGGCGCTGGAGTACGCCTCGCAGGAGCTGAGGGCGGACCGCGAGGTGGTGCTGACCGCTGTGAAGCAGAGCGGCGGTGTGTTATGGTACGCCTCGGCGGAGGTGAAGGCGGACCGCGAGGTGGTGCTGGCCGCCGTGCAGCAGAGCGGCTTGGCGCTGGTGTATGCCTCGCAGGAGCTGCGGGCGGACCGCGAGGTGGTGCTGGCCGCCGTGCAGCAGAGCGGCGCGACGCTGCAGTCCGCCTCGGAGGAGCTGAGGGCGGACCGAGAGGTGGTGCTAGCCGCTGTGAAGCAGAGCGGCGATGCGCTGCCGTTGGCTTTGCAGGAGCTGAGTGCGGACCGCGAGATCGTGTTGGCTGCCGTGGAGCAGAATGGCAGGGCGCTGCGGTTCGCCTCGCAGGAGCTGAGGGCGGACCGCGAGGTGGTGCTGGCCGCCGTGCAGCAGCTCGGCACCGCGCTGGAGTACGCCTCACAGGAGCTGACGGCGGACCGCGAGGTGGTGCTGGCCGCCGTGCAGCGGCTCGGCACCGCGCTGGAATACGCCTCGCAGGAGCTGAGGGCGGACCGAGGGGTCGTGCTGGCCGCCGTGCAGCAGAACGGTATGGCGCTGCGGCACGCCTCGCAGGAGGTGAGGGCGGACCGTGAGGTGGTACTGGCCGCCGTGCAGCAGGACGGCGATGCGCTAGAGCTCGCTTCGAGGGAGCTGAGGGCCGACCGCGAGGTGGTGTTTGCGGCTGTGCAGCAGAACGGTTGGGCGCTGCAGTACACCTCGCAGGAGCTGAGGGCGAGCCGCGAGATCGTTGTCGCCGCCGTGCAGCAGCGCGCTGTGGTACTGCAATACGCTTCGAGGGAGCTGAAGGCGGACCGCGAGGTGATGCTGGCCGCCGTGCGGCAGAGTGAGTTGGCGTTGCGGCACGCCTCGAAGGAGCTGTGGGCGGACCGCGAGTTCGTGATGCCTGTTGTGCAGCAGAGCGGCTTGGCGCTGGAGTACGCCTCGCAAGAGCTGAGGGCGGACCGCGAGGTGGTGCTGGCCGCCGTGCAGCAACACTACGGGGCGTTGCGGCACGCCTGGGAGGGGCTGTGGGCGGACCGCGCTTTCGTGAGAGTTGTCGTGCGGCAGAACGGCTATGCGTTGCGGCACGCTTCGGAGGAGCTGAGGGCGGACCGCGAGATTGTGCTTGCCGCCGTGAAGCAGAGCGGTTGGGTGTTGCAGTACGCCTCGCAGGAGCTGAGGGCGGACCGCGAGGTCGTGCTGGCCGCCGTGCAGCAGAACGGCGAGGCGCTAGAGCACGCCTCGAAGGAGCTCCAAGCGGACCGCGAGGTGGTGCTGGCCGCCGTGCAGCAGAGCGGCTTGGCGCTGGTGTATGCCTCGCAGGAGCTGAGGGTGGACCGCGAGGTGATGCTGGCCGCCGTGCAGCAGTACGGCGAGGCGCTGCACTACGCCTCGAAGGAGCTGAGGGCGGACCGCGAGGTGGTGCTGGCCGCTGTGCAGCAGGACGGCAGGGCGCTGGAGCACGCTTCGGAGGAGCTGAGGGTGGACCGCGAGTTCATGCTGGCCGCCGTGCAACAGCGCGGTGTGGCGCTGGCTTACGCCTCGCAGGAGCTGAGGGCGGACCGCGAGGTGGTGCTGGCCGCTGTGCAGCAGGACGGCAGGGCGCTGGAGCACGCTTCGGAGGAGCTGAGGGTGGACCGCGAGTTCATGCTGGCCGCCGTGCAACAGCGCGGTGTGGCGCTGGCTTACGCCTCGCAGGAGCTGAGGGCGGACCGCGAGGTGGTGCTGGCCGCCGTGCAACAGCGCGGTGTGGCGCTGGCCTACGCTTCGCAGGAGCTGAGGGCGGACCGCGAGTTCGTGCTAGCTGCCGTGCAGCAGGACGGCGGGGCGCTGAAGTACGCCTCGCGTGAGGGTGTGCTGGCCGCCGTGCAGCAGAACGGCATGGCGCTAGTGTGCGCCTCGGAGCAGCTGAGGGCGGACCGCGAGGTAGTGCTGGCCGCCGTGCAGCAGAATGGTGTGGCGCTGCAGTTCGCCCCGCAGGAGCTCAAGGCGGAGCGCGAGATCGTGCTGGCCGCCGTGCAGCAGAGCGGCTGGGCGCTGGGGTACGCCTCGCAGGAGCTGATGGCGGACCGCGACTTCGTGCTGGCCGCCGTGCAGCGGAACGGCAAGGCGCTGGTGGATGCGTCTGAGGAGCTTCAGGCGGACCGCGAGGTCGTGCTGGCCGCCGTGAAGCAGAGCGGCTATGCGCTGGAGTCCGCCTCGGAGGAGCTGAAGGCGGACCGCGAGGTCGTGCTGGCCGCCGTGCAGCAGCGCGGCGAGGCGCTGGTGTATGCGTCTGGGGAGCTCAAGGCAGACCGCGAGGTCGTGCTGGCCGCCGTGGAGCAGAACGGCAATGCGCTGCGGTTTGCTTCGCAGAAGCTGAGGGCGGAGCGTGGATGGCGGCGGTAGCTCGGCGGGGCAGCCAAGGCAAGCCGCGCTGTTGCTACTCTTGACGATTGAGTGAAGGGATTTTGGCTTTGTCTGTACGGCACTGTACTGTTGCCTCGCTGACACACTCATTCTCATAGAGCATGCGGTGGCCGAGGGTGTAACGTATGTACCAGTGTTTTCACTGCTGACTGTGGTACCGACCGTGTCGGCCCATAGGGCATCGAGTACTGCAACTGACGTATATACTGCTTCCCGCGCAACACGTACTTCAGACCGCGCCACTGTCGCTCCAACCACACGTACTGTAAGAAACCTACTGTGTCGCTCACAGACCACGACCCGCACGCCCGGCTAGAGAGGCCCGCCGGTGGTGACGGCGATCTCCACCGGCGCCGATGCCGCCGGCGCCGCCGCCGGCGCCGACGCGCGCCCCCCCGCCTCCCTGCCGCTCTCGGCCGCGCCGGGCTCGAGCGGGAGGCTGTGCATTGAGAGCTGCCTGCGGCACGGGGACCAAAAGCGCGAGGATTGGGGGGAGGCGGCGGGAGGTGTGCGTGCAAAGCAGCGGGAGGGGCAGCTCCGGAGGGAGCGGGGCCGCACCAGGTAAGTGCGTCCGGGCGGCGCGACGGAGCGCAAGGGGAGTGGGGGTGGGGGTGTGCCGTCGGGCGCGGGCGATGTGTCGGGCGAGCCGCCCACCTCTCTCGCACGCTCTCCGCGCTCCCGCGCGCGCCGCCCGCCCCACGGACAGACTCGTCCCGCGAGGGGAAGGGGTCGGCGCCGCGCGGCGGCCGCCCGCCGCCGTAGTGCGAGAGCACCACCTCGAGCAAGTGGCGCAGCGACGGCTCGGCGAGCGGCTTGCTCGCAGGACGGCCGGCGGGGCCCATCGACGCCTCGACGGCGGCGTCGAGGGTGGGGGTGCACTCCGTCGCCGCGAGGGTCAGCACGTCCATCTGCGGGCGTCGCGATCTCGGGTGATCTCGCAGGGGTGATCTCGGGTGATCTCGCGGGGCTCGAGTGATCTCGAGCGATCTCGAGCGATCGAGTCTCGAGCGATCGAGCGTCTCGAGTCTCGGGTGAGGGCCAGTGACAGTTCGCTTCAGCGAAAAAAGAAACACGCCTCCCCTCCCCCCTTCCCCATATACAGAGTACCGCAACGCATCGCACCACCGCTCCCAATCTCAAGGGCCAGGAAGGGATACACTTGCGCCGCCACCCTCACCCTTGCCCATACTACAGCGCTTCGCGAAGCTATGTCGCTCACTCCCGATCGCGAGGGACCAGGAAGGGAATACACTTGCGAGCGCAGATCGCTGCGCCGCCCGAGGGCGGCAGAAGATGCGAAGATCCCTATCGTGCCGCGGGGCACTCGCTCTTGAAGCAGGGGCACTCGTACTGCGACGGAGCCTCGCTGCCCGCGTCCGCGAGGATTGCGGAGGCGACACACGCGGTCGAGAAGCAGGCGATATTGCCCGCGAGGAGCGCGCGAAACTCGTCGCGGGTCACCGCCGTGCGGATGCGGGGCACCATGCCAGAGAGACATCCGGACCATGATGCCCCCGGCTGAGCGCCTGGCGTGCCTCCGCCGTGGGCTGAGCGCCTGGGAGAGCCACTCAGCAAGTGGTGTGCGAGCGTGTAGCCTTTAGCGAGCAGTCGGCGCCTTTTCTTTTACTTTTTCAAAAAAAGAAGAAGAAAAACGCGGGAAGCCGGCCCCAAACGGAGACTCCTCTGACTGTGCTCCGATGGATGCGCGATGGCCCAGCAAAGTCCAGGTTTCCAAAGCCGTCGCGATGGTCTGGGCGCGTTCCGAGAGCCCTGTGTAACCGCAAACCATAACCTGTCCGTCTGTCCCAAAGTCGTCTCTAAAGTGAGTGTATGACAAACATGATACATGTACATGTGGGGTCAAGTCTCAATCGCAGATCACGAACCATGAAACCGGCTCCTCGACACCCGGCGCGCCGGGACCGGCATCAGGCGTCCCCACCAAGAGCGGAGGAGAGCCGGCGGTGGCATTGGCGGTGGAGACTATCTGCTGCGGCATCTCTGTCTTATGCTGTCGCAGATATCGGTTCCGGACCGCAGAGTCACTCCGCCCTGTGAGCATGCCAGCGATGCAGCGCCACTTTAAGCCATGCTTCCGAACCCCCTCTTCGATGATTGCATCCTCCGCCGCCGTCCAGCCCCTCCGCTCCTTCTGGCGTAGCAACAGCGGCTCCGGCTTTTCAGAGCCCGAAAATTTTTCTGCCAGGCCTGCGGCTTGCAGCTTGTGCCATCTATTGCGCACAGCATCGGCTGTCCGTTTGTTGTGCATCTGCGCCGCGATGACTGGGAACTGCGTACCGATTCTGGCGATCAGCCTGATGATTGCGCGGTCCTCCTCCTCGGTCCAAGGTTTTGCGCTGCGTTTGGCGGCCGGTTCAGGCTTGTCATCGTCATCGCAATGGGCGAGCGATAATATGCTTGGGATGCCGGTGTGCTGGCCTTCTGGCACGGCCTCCTCGAGCCAGTTCAGGGGCGCGGCATCCGGCTGGTACAACTCTGGCAGCAGGCTCGGCAATTCCATCAGCCAGGCGGTCAGCCAGGCGGTCACCTGCGGTTGTGGTCAAACGAACGCGAAATGGTCAGCTGTCTTCAAAGACGGCCGTTTCAAAAAATTAATCCTTACAATCGTGAAGGTGGAAGGAAGAAAAGAGTGAGCACTGACTGGGTGAGAAAGAAATCAAGGCATGCATTACAGAGCCGCGAAAAAACAGAAAGGAGGCTCGGACTGGACACCAACGCAGAGGTGTAGATAGATAGATTGGAAGGTGAAGATTTCGGGCCCGGGGTTGTGAAGAAAAAGAAAACCGGCGGCCGACGGCGCTCGCTCGTGCCCAAAGCCACAGCAGTCCCGTCAAACCGTCTGCTCCCCAACACAGAACACGCATGCTGACCGCCGCCCTCCTGCTCGTCGCCGTCACTCCTCAAGCGCCTCCTTCGCCGCCGCCCCCGCCGACGCTTCCGCCGCCGCCGCCGCCGCCGGGGCTGCCTCCGCCTCCGCCCGCGTCTCCGCCTCCACCTCCCAGCTCTCCGCCCGCGTCTCCGCCTCCGCCTCCGCCTCCCAGCTCTCCGCCTCCGTTCGCGCCTCCCGGCGCACCACCACTCCTCGGCCTCGAGTGCGAACGCGAGGCGTATTTTCGGCTCCCGACGCGGTGGTTCTCCGAGCGGGAGGCGGCGCTGCTCACCACGGCGCTGATCAACGCGGCGATCGCGATCGGCTGCGGCCTCCTCTTCTTCGGCCTCCGCCACGCCTCGCCCACCATCCGGCTCCGGGTCTACTCGCCGCTTGCCGGCTCGTGGAGCGGCGCGAGCGGCGGCGCCGAGCCGTGGCCGCCCGACGTCTGGATCGGCGGGCTGCGGTGGCTGCTGTGGCCGCCTCGCTGGGCGCCCGAGTCGCGGTACACGCTCGAGCTCTGCATGATGATCCGCTTCCTCTCCATGAACTTCAGACTCTTCGCCCTCTTCGCGCCACTCGCCTTCCTTGTCTTGTTGCCGGTGAATGCGACGGCGCCGTCGCCGCCGCCGCTGCCGCCGCCGCCGCCGCCGCCCGAGGGGGTTTCGTTCCCCGCGCCGCCCTCCGCGCCGGTGGGGGGCGAGGAGGGGAAGGACTACATTGGCGGGCTCGAGGCGCTCTCCCTCAACCACCTCCCGCCCGGTCAGCACACGCAGATGCGGAAGACTCAGACGCACTTCTCGCTCCGCGCCTCTCCTGCCGCGCACATCCATTGGTTTGCTTGGGGTGTGTGGCATGATGGCGGTCTCTGCGCCGGAGCGGGCCGGTGTGTGGTCCGACCAGCACTCGAGAGGACGCGTACTCCGCCGCACCCGGACGCACTCACCCCCATCTAGACGCAAGCCCAGCCGCACTCACCCCCATCTAGACGCAAGCCCAGCCGCACTCACCCCCATCTAGACGCAAGCCCAGCCGCACTCACCCCCATCTAGACGCAAGCCCAGCCGCACTCACCCCCATCTAGACGCAAGCCCAGCCGCACTCACCCCCATCTAGACGCAAGCCCAGCCGCACTCACCCCCATCTAGACGCAAGCCCAGCCGCACTCACCCCCATCTAGACGCAAGCCCAGCCGCACTCACCCCCATCTAGACGCAAGCCCAGCCGCACTCACCCCCATCTAGACGCAAGCCCAGCCGCACTCACCCCCATCTAGACGCAAGCCCAGCCGTGATCGCCGTGTGCATGGCCATGGCACGGACTCTGACGCCTCCGTCCGCGGCGTAGGCTCGGCCCGCTTCTGGGCGCCCGTCGTGTGCATGCACCTACCTGCTCACGCTGCTGCACCCGCACCTTCCGCGAGATCACCCGAGATCACCCGAGCTGAGGCGAGCGTGTAGGTACCTGCTCACGCTGCTGTACCTGTCGCTCCTGCGGCGCGAGTGGCCCGTCTACGCGCGGCTCCGACACATGTGGGACGCGCAGCCGGCGCCGCACCGCTACGCCGTCCTGCTGCGCGTGTCGCCCGCCGCCACGCCGCCGAGCGTGCTCGAGGAGCGGCTCGCCGCCCTCTTCCCTGGCGAGGTGGAGGCTCTATCTCGGCTCTGCCTCGGCGCTATGTCGGCGCTATCTCGGCGCTACCTCGGCGCTACCTCGGCGCTATCTCCCCCTCCTCCCGGGCTAGGTGGAGGCCGTGGCGCCGCTGCGACCGCCGCGCAGCCTGCACCCGCCGCGCCGCCTCTCCCTCCGAAGCTCGATCGGCTTGCCCTCCCGCTCGCCTTCGCCGGTGCCCAGCGCGCCGCTGCGAGAGGAGCCTCCGCTGCGGAGGCTACCCTCCTCTCTCCCCCCCTACCTAGAAGCGGGAGATCTCCCCGTATCTCCCCCCCGTATCTCCCCCACGTCTCGGCCCCTGGAAGCGGAGGATGCAGTCTTGTACTCCAACCAGCGCGCGAGAGGACACGGACGCCGCTGCACTCGGCCACATTCCAGCGGGACTCACTGCATTCGCCCCCCCTACTCACACAGTACTCCGAATCCTCTGCATTCGTACCCCCCCCCCGTACTCACACAGTAGTGCTCCAACTACTCTGCACAATACCGTCCTCCCGCCCTCATGTCGGCGTCTTGCAGCACCGTAGGCCTCTGTCCGGCGTCGGCCTGCCGCGGCGCGACCGCTACTACCTCGCGCTCGACCACGACGGGTCGATGCCGGTGCGAGACACTCCCGAGACACTTCCGAGGCACTTCCGAGGCACCTCTGAGACACTTCGGAGGCACTCCCGGGACATCTCAGAGACATTTCCGAGTCACTTCGGAGACAGTTCTGAGACACTTCTGAGACACGTCCGAGACACTTCAGAGGCACTTTGGAGGCACTTTCGAGAAACCTCAGAGACTCTTCCGAGACACCTCCGAGACACCACAGAGGCACTTCCGAGACACTTCCGAGACATGTCTCGCCGACCACGTCTGCCACGTCTCTCTCCCCCGACGACACGTCCACGACATGTCCGGGACACGTCCACGACACGCCCGCGACACATCCACGACACGCCCGCGACACATCCACGACACGCCCGCGACGCGTCCCCCGCGCAGGTGGGGCCAGCGGCTGACTTACCCGTACAAGTACTCGCGGGCGATGATGGTGATCAACATCGGAGTGATGTACGCCTGCATCGCGCCGCTCGTGGCGCGCGCCGAGACACAGCCGACTAGTCACGACTAGCCTTTGGCTAGCCGGTACTAGCCGGGACGTGGCGTGGGCGAGGGCAGGACACTCGCGCGTGCTTCCCCCCCCTTCTCCACTCGCTTTGACCGCTGTTCTGACCGCCGCTCTGGCCGGCCGTGCCGTCAGGTCTTCTTCATCCTTCTGTGGCTGGTGGTGATCGTGCCCATCTGGAGCTACAACCTGCAGTACGTCTGGG